TTATTCCGACGCGCCCAATGAGGCCACAAGCGAACTTGCTTGACAGTCATTTATAAGCCACTGTCACCTCTCAGATAGTGAGATGCAACACGAACTGCGAGGACACCGCCAGTCCGATCCTCATTGTTCGGACTAGCCCCGAAGCGGGGACTTTCAGCGCGGTGGAAATCAACCAGCGGCAAAAGCCATCCGAGAAAGCAACTCTGGGTTATGTACACAATAAACCCTCTTCCGGGTGGCTTCCAAAATTACGCCCTTCTTATTGTGTTCTTCCTTGGGGATTCCAACGGGCGTAACTAGATGGTGACACCACTGAAGTTCCCTTGATAACACATACGAACATTGAAGGGAAATCACACATTTTTCCGGGCCATTACGAATACGTCTGTATACTGTTTAAGTAGCGTGAAAAAAATAGCCAGAGATGATGACTTAATTGGACATGTTAAGGTCTTGAAAAAGTGCATAACTGGTAACAATTTAAAAAAAATTAAAAATACTTTCTTTTGGCTTAAACTTAAGAAGAGGTCATTTGCTCTCAACTGAGTACAGATAATGCTAATTTGCATTCATAGCCTATAAATACATTTTTGAAGTTATAAGAACAAGCAGTGTTTGCCTAAGTTGGATTTGTTAGCTACCCAGAAAGCTGTTCAGTTTCACGGATGGGCGCCGACTTACAGTAAGGGAGAAATCTCAAGTAAATATTCGCTGTAATGAAGGAATTATATTAAGGCAGACTTGTGTTGCATTGGTCTCAATCCCACTTTCCAAAGCATCAGACCTGCAGGCTACCCGGTTTTTCGGGGGAGCTCTGGGGCCTTGAAATTGTCCATGAATGATCCCTAGTGGGGAGAATGATGCGACCAAGCCTTCAACGTGTTCCTGCCAGCTCCGCAGTTAACTTTCCGTTTTCTGTTTCTCCCTGTCTGCGCAGGCTGCTCGGCTCGGTTGCCGTGCCTACGCTCTCCTCTTCGACGACATCGACACTCGCCTGTGTCCAGCGGATCAGGAGATCTTTGGTTCCCCTGGGCGGGCCCAGGTTGCGCTTACCAACGAGATCTACCAAGCTCTCGGCTGTCCAGAAACCTTCCTATTCTGTCCCACAGAGTACTGCGCCAGTCGGGCTGTACCGAATGTCGCCAAGTCTACCTACCTCGCCACCTTAGGCACAGATTTGACTCAAGGTCGGTCTATTTTATCCCCCCATCGCTTACTAATTTAAATACACAGTACGTGTGATGCTTTACTATTGCGCTACTTGGTAAGTCAGTTCAAGGTTACAGTTTCATCGCCGGCTGCGAAAGATGGTTTTCAGGAATGACTGTGACAGTTCGCATTCCAGGTGTTTTTATGAGTACAGTAGAAGGCTGATCGGGTCTGTTTAT